TCATCATCATCATCATCATCATCATCATCATCATCATCATCATCATCATCATCGCTATCGTCGTCGGTCACTGTGGCAATATCGTTATGACTATCATTATGCTTATATTGTTGTTATTATTGTGTCTCCCTCAGGCGGGCCGGCGTACTCTAGCACCAACATGTCGGACCCCGACAAGAAACAAGAGATCCAGTGCGTGTGTGACCCACCCACTTGTAGCCAGGCTAACCACTGCAATACCACGGGAAAGGTACGTATATTTTGAAAATTTCTCGTGTGCTGTGCCTGTCTGTTCGTATTCTGTTTTTATCTTGTTTTGTTTTGTTTGTTTGTTTGTTTGTTTATTAGTTTATTTATTTGTTTGTTGTTTGTTGTTGTTGTGGCTTTTACTGCTGCCATCTTTCACTGTTGTGAATTTGAGTTGTTGATGCTTTTTTGTGGGTTTTTGTTGTTGTTTAGCCGCAGAAATGCTACATTCGAATATGTAGATTTTGTCTTTTGGATTGCTCGAAAATGTCATCTTCTTTTGTTGCTGGTATTGTTGGTAGTGTTGATGTTGTTCTAGTTGTCGTTGTTGCTGTTTGCTGTGTAATCTATCAGAGACAGCAGGTGAGGTATTTCGCTACCTCAGAATTACAAAGTTCTATTTGACATTTTTGTCCCTTTTGAGTTACTAAGACCATGAGTTCAGAAATCAAATGCTCTACCTGCTCTATCAAAATCGCAAGATTATACTGGGAGTCGTTATCAAGATATTTAAAAAATTAATTTTTTAAAAAGCTTCACATGATGTGATACTCAAAATCTTTTACGTCAAATTTCTAAAAACTAGGTACTGTGCAGATTAAACTTTGTAATTCTGAATTAGCGATTTAGGCAGCCCTTCTCTCCCCTGGAGCGCTGTTGCCTGCTCCTTTTACTTTTTATAAGTCATAAATATGTTACCCTAATCTAGTACTGAGCCGGTGTCTGTGGTCTAGTGGTTAACCACTTGGCAGCCACATGCACGAGACATGAGTTCGATTCCTCTGTGTGGTTGTGGTGTGTGTGTGTGTGTGGGGGGG